TCAAAACCTTAATATAACTCTTGATTTCCGGGTTAAACAGGAACTTTGGTCCAGTGTTACTTAATTAACATTTCCAAAAAATGTTAAATTAACTCTAGAACAGATTGGACTCATATAAACTCTGAGAAAATGTTCAAATTGATTCTGTGAGAGTTAATCTTAACACTCCAGTTTTTGCTGTGTGGCGGAGTTAGCAGTTTAGTGGCTCTAGGCGAAGTTTGAGTTTGGGGCCCTCACTATAATGCACTGTTTTGTTGGAGTTTTTTGTATGTTTGTATGTTGTTGTATTCTTCTTCTTTTTTTTTTCTTTTTTTTACTGTTTTATCCCATTGTTCATGAGACACGCACATCATTATTTGAATTATGGTGGTTTGGAAACTTGTCTTATTACTTAGGTAATCGACTAGATGACCAGAGCTGAAAGTAGTTTGATTTTTTTGCTAGTACAATTAAATTTTTCTTTACATCCATTGCATATGATTATGATTATGTTATGATTATGTTCAAATCAGGATCAAGCTGAGTAGTCTAACGTGAAAGGGTGGATGCTTTGACAGTTAAAATAGATTTGACAGTTAGATACTATTTTGATGGTGTTTTTTGTTTAAAAGTAAACTACTGTAATTTAATTGCTCCGAGGCCTCAGTCATTAGTGGGACTGAGGGCAATTGTTTGGGGGCCCCTCCAGGTTCGGGATCCCTAGGTGGCCGCCTACTGTTGCCTAATGGTAGCGCCGCCTCTGCCATAACCTTCTGTAGCCAAAATCATAATTTAGAGTTCATCATGACTCAAACAGTTAGGATTTTAAATGTCCTATACTAGGCAAAATTTACTCAATGTTATAATGTTGTTTCCTCATCAAAAACAAACCCAGAGTTGTGCTTTGTCTTTATCTCCAAAGCTCAAAATGCTCTGTTCCACATTGTGATGTCATGTAGTGGTAGCTTTCAAGTTAACATCTACCTTTTACCTTTTGTTCAGTAAAGACGAGCAGCTCCATGGCTGAAATTATTCATATGATTCTAGTGAAGGTGTATGAAGTTTAAAAACACAATGGAGCTCTTATTGTATTACTAGATGACATCATAAGGTGGAACTGAATGTTTTCCGTTTGAGAGAAGCCTTTGCACTGGCTCCCTGTCCAGTTCAGAATTCATTTTAAAATTTTGATGTTTGTTTTTAATGCAGTCAATGATCTTGCACCTTCCTACTTGTGTGACTAACCCAGCAGAGCTCTACGATCTGCTGGGCAACATCTGCTGGAGGTCCCCTGGTCCCGGTGCAAGCAGTGGGGTGATCGTTCTTTTGCAGTGGCCGGTCCAAAACTCTGGAACTCTTTGCCCACTGAGTTACGGTCCATCCTTGACCTGCCTTTGTTCAAAGCCAAACTTAAAACCTACTTATTTAGAACGGCTTTTAACACTGAGTGGCCCTGTGACACTTTCTTTATTTTAATGTTGTAATGTGCTTTGTTGACCTATTTGTATGATGTTTATAGTTTTTTATCTTGTTTTAATGTTGTACAGCACTTTGGTCGGCTTTGGTTGTTGGAAGGTGCTATAGAAATAAAGTTTGATTGATTGATTGAGAAGAACACAACCTAAATATGCAGAGTTTGTGTGTTAAATGAATGTGAATGAAACTAAACAACTCCAGGTTTGTTTGTGACGAGGAAACAACATTATATAATATAGATCCAAAAATGTTAAAAGTAACCTTTAAAAGTAACTCAACTCATCTACTGCAACATCAACCAGCCCTAAAACCAGGAAATTACATTTTGCAGATGTTCTGTCAAATGTTAGGTTCCAGTGCAAGTCCATTGGTTCAATCAAACGAAACTAGCATAGCAAAAATGGGACTAAACCCAGAACCAGTGTTACACCAGGACTACATCAAAATCAAACCAAGTATGAACGTTACATTTAAAGTCCACTGAGCCTTAAAGCCTCAATCTCAAATGAAACCTATTAAAAACAAATAACAATGTCCTTTAATATTAATTTCCTTATCAATACAAAAGTTTAATTAGTGCCAGTTAATACAAAAAAAGTCTAATTTCTTTTTCCCGAAGGCTGGTCTCTGCTCCAAACCAAAACACAGGCTTTTACTGACAGAGGCTGCGAGGCTCAATGAAAAAGACCCAAACTGATTACTGACTATTAGAAATGACTGAATCTCGATGTTGAAATTGCACAGTCGTACGTTTACAGCTGTATTAAATTATGTGAGCCTATTTAAACTCTGTCCACTTAACTCTGCTATAGCTACACGGACAATAAAAGCCACAACAATTATTTTAATGTGATTGCATATGAAACATTAGCAGCCAAATCCTTTGAAAACACGCAGTAAAATGCAGTGGTGAAAGAAGTAATCAAGTTTGTTAAAGTTAAGTAAAAGTACAGATACAGGAGCAATAAAGTACTGAAGTAAAAGTAGAAGCATCACACGAAAAAGTATTAAAGTACCTGTATAAAAATGTACTTAAAGAGTAAAATGTAAAAGTATTTTCTACAGGTTTTGAAGCTTCAAAGGTAGTGATTTTGACAAAGATTTATATAGAAGAATTATATTCAGAAAAAGAATTTAATCTCTCCAAGTCTCTATAAGTCTCTTCATGGCCGAACACCAAATGACATCATAGTGCAGGCATGTCCAAACTGTGGCCCGTGGACCAAATGCGGCCCTCAGACTAATTTTTCTTAGCCTTCAGGCTTCCACGTGAATTGACCCAAATTACCTTGCATCAATTAAAAATGGACTTTTTAATGCAAGTTTTTTTGTTTTTTTTTTTGAAAATCTATCTTGATAAAGCTAATATTTAATATTTAGTGTGTGGTTTTAAGCATGAATAAAGACTGATGGCTCATTATAATGTGTTAAACATGCACATATTTCAATTATTCACTGTATTGAGCACCAGTCTACGGCTCTTGTTCAGCCCTCTGCTTCATCTGTGTTTAAATATGTGGCCCTTGATGAAAAACGTTTAGAAACCCCTGTGTTAGTGCCATATGAATCATCTCGCACTCTGAAAAGTTCAGGGACCGGCCTCCTGCTGGTGCCCAGAGTCAGGACTAAACACGGGGAGTCAGTGTTTCAGGTTCATGCAGCTAAAGCCTGGAACAGTCGTCCTGAACATGTGAGACAGACTCTTCTTAGACGCTGTTTAAATCCAGGCTTAAAATGGTTCTGTTTAGCTGCGCCTATGACTGAAAGGTTTTCATTCTGCACTCTTCTCTCTAATTTATGTAATTAATGTCCCTGTCTCTTTTTTAATTTTAATCTTTCATGTTATGGCGATTATTTATGTTTTGATTTGTTTTTATTGTGATTTTAATGACTTTCTTATTGTGGAAAGCATTTTAAATTACTTTGTGTATGAACTGTGCTATACAAATAAACTTGCCTTGCCTAATCTTTATTTTTTTCCTAGCTGTTTTCATTTGTATATTTGTGTTTGATCAAACTACAAATGTGTTAAAATATAAAGCCTCAGCCTTTTCTGCAGGTATTAAACAAACATAAAAATATGAAAATATGAACAAATGTAGTGGAGTGGAAAGTATAGATACCTTCTCTGAAATATAGTGAAGTAAAGTATCCACTTATAATCTACTAAAGTAAAGTACAGATACCTAATTTTTTTTTTAAATTACAGGTGCATTCACTTTTCTGGTGAAGTGTCCGTCAAATACTTTTTTTCTATGGAGATGTTATTGCTTTGTCTGGAATGTTTCATAGTGTGGTATTAAACCTTTCCATCTTCATTAAGACCAAACCAGGCTGAGTTACAGGTCAGATCTGTGGCGAGGCGACCCAGCTCACAGTCAGAATGCCTGTTTTTCTAGATATTTTTGAGCTATAAAACCACCTGTAATTGAATAAATGTAAAGTAGATGTAAAGTAGAACGTAAAACTGTAGAGCAATGACTAGGGATGTAACGATATCCAAATCTCTATGTACGATATTATCACGATATGCATCTCACTGTACAATATTTACTGTGATATTTTGGAGAGGCTGATGTAATTGTAGATGGGACACTTTTTTGCTTTTATATCTCTTCCTGGTCCAGGTGTCAGTCCCAGTCTGGTCCCAGTCTGGTCCCCATCTCAAGTCCCGGTCTCAATCACGGCCTGGTTCTGGTGTTGTCCCGACCTCAGTCCCGACCTCAGTCCCGACCTCAGTCCCGACCTCAGTCCCGGTCTCAGGCCCGGTCTCAGTCCCGGTCTCAGTCCCGGTCTCAGTCCCGGTCTCAGTCCCGGTCTCAGTCCCGGTGTTCAGGCCCAGCCTCAGTCCCGGTGTTCAGGCCCAGCCTCAGTCCCGGTGTTCAGGCCCGGCCTCAGTCCTGGTCTCAGTCCCAGTCTGGCCCCTGTCTCTGTCCCAGTTTCAGTCCTGTTCCTGGTCCCAGACTCAGTCCTGGTCTCAGTCCCAGTCTGGCCCCTGTCTCTGTCCCAGTTTCAGTCCTGTTCCTGGTCCCAGACTCAGTCCTGGTCTCAGTCCCGGTCTGGTTCCGGTCTGGTCGGACCTGGTTTAGTCCTGGTTCAGTCCGTATGTGGCGCAAAAGTCTGGAATCGCAGTTTAAGTCACAAAAACGGGAAATGGCCATTTTCTGTTTTTCCATTATTCATTTAAAATTTTTCATTTTGGTTTTGAAGACAAATAATGAAGAAAATTGTTGTTTTTTCATTTTCTTATTTTTGGTTTTCTATTGGAAAAACGAATGGACGAACGATACACGGATTTTGCAACTATAAAACCATGCATTTAAACAAAGGAACTTGTAATTTGATATATTGTGACAGCCCACGATATTACTCTGAGACTTTTGACGAAACGATATCACGATATTTCAGTTATTGTTACATCTCTAGCAATGACATCTCCATAGAAACAAGCAGGTGACGGACCTCCAACCAAAAAGTTACACAGTGCACCTTTACGTACAGTACTGTGTGACCTTCCACCGCTGGTAAAATATAATCAAACTTACGACAGTTTTCTTCATCGGACTTGTCCTTGCAGTCTGCGTCTCCGTCACACTTCCAGTTCATGTGCACACACTCCCCGCTCCCGCACTGGAACTCCCCCACCGGACAGCGAGGTTTCTGGGGTTCAGTTTTCCGGCTGCACCGCTCCATGGACTCATCGGACTTGTCTTTACAGTCGGGGTCTCCGTCGCAGCTCCACAGCGCCGGGATGCATTCAGAATCATTGCAGCGAAACTCGTGTTGGCCACAGGTGGGCGCCGAGCACTTCTCTTCGTCGCTGGAGTCTCCGCAATCGTCATCGCCGTCGCAAACGAAGATCTGGGCTACGCACTTCCCATTCCGGCAGGCGAAGTCTTTGCTCGGGCAAGCTTTGGCGTCTAAAAGAGAGGAAGAAGAGAAGAAGAGAAGATTAGATGAGCAATTTGTGACTTAATTAAACCAGACTACGTTGAACCAGCCTGCAGTCATCTGGACTAAAGAGAATATGGGGTGTTGCTTTACTGCCTATTGAAGAAACGAGGATGAAAGACAGTGCTGAAATAAATTAACTTAATGATTAAAAGCTCATAACAGATACTCATTTTTGCTCTAAGGCTTGTGGTGTCAATTTTGCGAAGCTTGATCTGAAATTGCTTTAATATTGTTAGAACTTTCAAAATCACTTCAGTATCAGATGACAGAAAAAAATCTACCAACAGCTATTTAACAGAGCTAGTATATTTTCTGAAACTTTTTTGTGTTTCTTTTACATGTACACTGGCTATATTAAAGGTGCATTGCGTGACTTTTTTCCTTGTCGCCATGGAGATGTTGGAATGACATTAAACACATCGATCTATCTAGGATTTATTCATTATGAGTGTTTCTTTTGCTCTTCTCAACAGATCTGACCTGTAATGGGGCCTATAGTTGTCTCTCTTTATATAGCTTTAATCTCTACTGTGGAACATTCTAAGAAAAGCAATAACTTTATTAAAGTGTAACTAATAGTGTAAAGTCCATCATCCGCTTGTCTCTATGAAGATGTTCTTTCTTCGCCACAAATGTTTGACAGTAAGGCATGGAAATCAGTGGGTCATTCGTTCATTCATTTTTCAAAATAAAACCAAAAATAAGAAAACGAAAAAAACAACTTCTTCATTATTTACTACAAAACCAAAAAAAAAAAAAACAGACAACAGGTTGAACTAGGACTAAAACAGGATTTAAACATAACTAAACCAGAACTGAACCAGGACTGAACCCGGACTGAACCAGGACTGGGTGTTGGGACGCCTGGTTTAGACCTGGTTTAGACCTGGTTTAGTCCTGGTTTAGTCCTGGTTTAGTCCTGGTTTAGTCCTGGTTTAGTCAGTTCTGGTTTAGTCCTGATTTAGTCCTGGTTCAGTTCTGGTTAAGTTCTGGTTTAGACCCGGTTCAGTCCTGGTTCCATCCTCCTGGTTCAGTTCTAGAATCAGTCCTGATTCAGTCCTTTTTTTAGACCTGGTTCAGTCCTGGTTTAGTCCTGGTTCAGTCCTTTTTTAGACCTGGTTCAGTCCTGGTTTAGTCCTGGTTCAGTCCTTTTTTAGTCCTGGTTCAGTCCTGGTTTAGTCCTGGTTCAGTCCTTTTTTAGTCCTGGTTCAGTCCTTTTTTAGACCTGGTTCAGTCCTGGTTTAGTCCTGGTTTAGTCCTGGTTTAGTCCTCCTAGTTTAGACCTGGTTTATTCCTGATTAAGGGTCAAAATTGGATGAAACTGGAAACGGGTTTTTCCATTATTCATTTAAATGCAAAATCAAAAACTTAAAAAACAAATTATTATTCATTTTTAAAATTTTGGTTTTGGAGACAAATAATTAAGAAAATTGTTGTTTTTTCATTTTTTTATTTTTGTTTTTATTTTGAAAAACAAATGAACGAGTGACACAGTGATTCATGAAACTTCTCTATCGCCATGGACACAAGTACAGCCACCAATTATTACAACTGCAAGCTTTCCTCCAACATATCCACAGCCTCTGGACCAAAACGACTGGTCTTGATGTAGTAGCTAACAACACACAAACACAACAGCAGCAGATAGAATGGATGGATTTGATTAAACTTTGACGCTAAATTACAATGAAAAGCCCATTAACCTGTGCAGGAAGAGGTGGCAGCAGAGTGACTCATCGTATTTACTTGACAGAGGAATGGTCATTATGTTTTTTAATAAAGCTCTGAATATTAAATCAACAATGCCCCACACAGTTCACCCTGAAAGATTTAAATAAACAAAGTTAGTTTTATTTTTTTCCCCTTTATATACACTACCAGTCAACAGTTTGGACAGACCATCTCATTGTGTATACATACAGAAGACTACGGGTGTGCAAAAATATTGAAATATTGATATATCGTGTCGCTTAATATGATGATACAGTATCGATATAATGGGCTGCTGTATCGATATATCGCCAAGAGTATTTTTTGGTATATTTTACTAAATTATTTTGTTACAGTGCTACAGTTTTGTTGCTTGTTTAGTAGGGATGTAACGATATCCAAATCTCTTGGTACAACATTATCACGATATGCATCATGGTACAGTATTTATTGCGATATGTTGGAGAGGCTAATATAACTGTAGACAGGAAACTTTTTTGCTTTTAAAATACCATAACAAGGTTTTGGTGTGAATTATTTCCATCATAATCCCAAGAATTGAAGTCAGTTTCTTCATGTTGTCTGCACTGAAATGAATCATGGGATATGTAGTTCCCGATGTTTAAAAGCTGTTGCAACTATAAAACCATGCATTTAAAAGCAATGAAAACCATGCATTTAAGCAAAGAAACTTGTAACTGGAGAGCCCACGATGTTATTGTGAGACTTTTGACAATACAATACCACAATATTTCAGTTATTGTTACATCCATATTGTTTAGTGAAAGGAAACTCGTTTATGCAACACATTTGTCACATTCACTGTTTTGATGAGTAAAATGTTTGTGTTTCATATTCACTTTAACAAAGACTTTTAGAATCACAGCCACAATTTAGCCTTTATTTTTTATTGAACCGTATCAAATCAATTTGAAATATAATATTTCAAACCGAAAGTGCACTGTTTCAAGATATGTATCGTATCGTGGCCTATGTATCAAGGGGATGTATTGTATCGGCAACTTCTTAATGATACCCAGCCCTACAGAAGGCATCAAAAATAAAATGAAACATATAGAATTATATAGAAAAATAAAAAAAAGTCAAGTAACTCTGCTCAGATTTTCAAATTTTATATTCAAATCCACAAAGTAGCCACTTTTGCTTTGTCAAAAAATATTCATATATTTGATGTGATGAAAATGTAGACAGTAAAAAAAACAAACAAACAAAAAAAAAACTCTGAGATGGTGTGTCCAAACGTTTGTCTTTGCAAAGTACTTTACAAGAAGGAACCACCCACCCACTCATATGCCAATGTACACAGACACTGGGGGAGAGGTGGGTTAAGTGTCTTGCCCAAGGACACAACGGCAGCATTCATCTGTGGGAGCTAGAAATCGAACCGCCAACCTGTAGGTCAGTGGATCTAACCGCTCAACCAATTTTGTTTTTTTATATGTTGAGAGCGGGATTCGAACCACCAACCTTCGGATCAGTGGATAAATGCTCCAAATTGAGCTACTGTCGCTCCAGTAGTAGTAGTAGTAGTAGTAGTAGTAGTAGTAGTCGTAGTAGTCGTAGTCGTAGTAGTAGTAGTAGACTTTGCAATTTTTTTTTCAAATAGATACAGTTGCAACATTAGTAATGCAATACTGTGAAACATTCCAAGCAAAGCAATACCACCTCAATGGAAACAAGCAGGTTGCAGATTCTCCACCAGAAAACACAAAATTCTGACTCTTGCACATGACTAAATGCTTCTGTTCAACTTGTACACAACTTCCATCACCGGGGGAGCCAAACATTACAGTAATCTTTTCTCTTACACAGCCGCACATTGAAGCGAAGGGACTCATTACGATAATAGCCTATTGGATTCCCCAACTTGCTATTAGCGCTAGCATGCTAATCATCTCAGCTCAGATCCAAGTAATTGAATTAGCATGAGAGCATAAACAAAAGCAGCAGCGGCGGCGGCGGCGGCGGCGGCGTTCCCGGCACAGAGTCAGGTGCCTGGGGTCGGCTGAGGTGGTTGAGTAAGCAAACACTGGATCAGTAATTATTTTGAAAACATTATGAAAAATTAATGCTGTATTTTACAAGTTTGGCTCTATGGATTTTGGGTAGAATGATAAATAAACAGCGGTGGAAGAAGTACTCAGTTTTGTTACTTAAAGGTGCATTGTGTAACTTTTCAGGTGGAAGGTCTGTATAATGCTTTTCTCCATGGAGATGTTATTGCCGTGCCTGGATTGTTCTGTAGTATGACATTAAATTGATCTATCTCCATGGAGACAAGTAGATGGTGCCACCGGGTGAAGTTACAGGTCAGATCTGTGGAGAGACGACCCTGCTCGGAGTAAGAATGTATGTGTATAAAGGTATTTTGGAGCGATAAAAACACAAAATTGAACAACTGAAGAATAGATAAGTTGAATACTGTACTGTGGAACTTTCCAGGCACTGCAATAACATCTCCATAGAGAGTAAAAGTACAGATACTAGAGCAAAAAAATAGCCTGATTCATGCTGCGAGGTCAGTTTCACTTCACAGAAAACCGTCTGACCTCACAGCATTAGAATTCATTCAGTCGATGGTAGGTGAGTACTTTTTTAATTTAATCAATCACTGCTATTTGATTATTATTGCTATTATTGTGATTATTATTGTTATTTAATGCACCGCTAATGGGGCTAACTGGTATATTAAGCTTTTCCCAAATCCTGTAGGAAGAAGGACAATAACATCTTTCCCCTTGACAAAATTCACCAAACATGTTCTTTGTTCCGGCTTTAAATCCTCGATCTCGGGAATCGTTGCCAACACAGACTGTATGACTCTTCGCTGATTGGCTGGTGCCTGAACTCGCACTTCCGGGGTTCTTGCAAATCGTCTAGTGTATTTTGATTCCTGACCTAGTCGCTGGAGAGAAATTAAATTGAGCGGAGGTACTAGATGGCGCCAGCCTGACTAGCAAAAAATATTCAAGAAAATGTTTCACATGAAAAATCTACTAAAGTATTATTAGATATTAAAGTACCCATTTAAAAATGTACTTAGAGTAAAAAGTAAAAGTATGTGTTAAATGTGCTAAAACAATAATAAACTGTAATAATAAACTGTAATTTTCCAGTCCATTTTGCACAAGAAGTGGTTTAATAACAAAGACTTTTAAAATCACAGCCATGATTTAGCCATTATTTTTTACTGAACCATATCAAATTGATCAGAAATATATTGTACCGAAAGTGC